CATTTATAGCTAAATGGATGCATATTGAGGCCATACTCTTAAGTGAAATAAATAGGACACACATGTGTAAATACCGAATAGTATCTCTGGTGTGAGAAACTGAAAGTGTAAATAAGGATGAAAATGATTAAAATGAGTAATTTATAGTTTGAAATAGGAAAAGGTCCAAAGGTGTAGGGGTGGCAGAAGGAGAAGGGGAAAGGGAAGAAAGGAAAGGAAAAATTATGAGAAAGAAAAAAAAAATAGAAACAAGTCTATATAAATAGTGAAGGGTGGTGGGGGCGAAGGGTGTATAGGTAATGGGGGAAAAATAAGAACTAAGATACCTCTTGTTCAGGTACAAACAAACACCCAATGATAAATGAAAATGTAGTGTATACCTAAAATGTACCAATTAATATATAAATTTTAAAAATGAGAAGAATAAATTGTTATTCTCAGGTATTTTGTCACCATGACCAAGAGCTGACTAAAAAAACCTGGAAAAAAATAATGGGTAAACATGAAAATAGGTTGAAAGTATGCAAGGAAGGAAATACTTTTATTTCACAGGAGATTAGGTATTGTCCATAAAAAAAACCCTCCACTGTTTGTTGGGAAAGATATCAATTCAACCTTGACTTTTTGAGTCAAAAAATTTGGTTATAAGAAAGAGATGAAAGAGGAAGAATATCCCTAGAATAATTCTAACAACAATTTAGACCTGTTAGCAAGGTTGCAAGTCTCTATATAGTAAGAAAAATTTACATATGTTCAAAAATAATCCTTGGTATCAATCAGTTTTTATCAAATTATAAATAATATTTGCTTTTCTTTTATAAAATATAGACAATACCATGATCAATATGTCCTTGTTAGAATCAAATGCTTAGAGCACTACAGAGTAGACACCAAGTAAATATTGAATATTATTTTTGTTTCTCTTGTAGGTCAGTGCAAAGCCTCACAGAATAAATCAATAACAATAACTCTGTCTGGAATGTTAATAGCTTTGATTTTTTCTATTACATTTTCAGTATACTTCTTTTTCTTCTTTTTTTTCATTGTATATGCGGCACCTAAACAGTGTAAAAGCATGTGAGGGAAAGCAAAATAAAAGATAATTTGTGCTTGTGACTCACTGAGTACTAGATAATTCAACCTGCAAAATCTAAAATTGATAATGGAAATGCTCGCTTTAAAAGTGGAGGAACAAAAAATGGGAGGGGGGAAGAACTAAGTTTCAGGCAAGCTAATTGTCTTTGCTAGATGAGATGGAAAAATCACTTTCCTAAAATAATGACTGAGTCTAAAATTCCTGCACTGGCATACCATCTGTTACCAAATTATGAAGGACATAAAGAAGAAAAGACATTATAATTGCCCACTCCAAGAATGGTCTTGAAAGAATTACACAGAAATTAAACAATTTGGGTCTTAAAAATAAATGCTAATAATGAGATAAATGGAAGTATTGTAGGGAGAATTAAGGACATAAAAATCTCCATAGTTTTAAACACCAAAGGAAAGCTTCCTAGAGGTAGAGGGGCATTGGTAGATTTGACTATAATTGGAATGAAAAGAACTGCATTTTAAAAGTTTGTTATAGCATGATATATTTAATAACTAGAAAGGGACAGAGAGCTACTATAATTTAACAGGATGAACTATCTCTGTCACACCCTCGGAGACAAGCCTGGCAGCTGTGCTGTGACCTTTTACTATCCTGAAGGAGAAGGACTCAGGGAAGGAAGGAGTTGGAAGTGCAAACTCCACAGATGACTTAAACTACCTGGCAGTGCAAGTAATGCACAGAAAAAACAGCCTGTTACCCCACACATCCTTCAATTATATTTTAAAAACAAAGTTATCAACCAAGATCAGAATTTAATGAGTTGCACACACACACACACACACACACACACACACAGGCACCTTGATGCCATCCTTGAATGTAAATGAAGGAAACTTAGACTCTAGAGAAGAATTAGACACTGTGGTGCATGAATTAGTGCAGCAAAGTCCAGCTTTCCAAGGACATTAAACCAAAGAAGAAACTAAACCTTCAAACAATATAGCTATTTGCCTATTTGGTCAGGATGGAAACTAGTTAGCATTGGAGAAAGAAATGGGAGAGAGTTTTCCAACTCATCCTGCCTTCAAAAGCTGTGTGAGCAAAATATTAAATTAATATTATACAAGACCCTTTGGAAAGAGTCCTAAATTATGCTTGTAGCTATAAAAATATATCGCCAATTTCATTGAAAATTCATGTACTGATAACCTAAACCAAGATTATTTTTTAAAATATTAAATTTTTTTGATTATAGAACACAAAATATTGTGATATTCTGAAAAAATATTTCTAACATCCCACTATTTACAAAATCATTATTATTTTAAAAATAATTTAGCCATATTTAAAAACTGAGAAGACAATAAACTCATTTTAAGTCAGTATATGTAATCATTCATTTACTTATAAAATGATTGCAGGCTTATGTTCACTGTTACTTGGGACTTGAAACATTGATGTTCCTCCCTCTAGCAGGCAATATTCACTTGACAACTTTTTGTATGAGTGTTATTTTTAATCCATCTTGCAAATCAAAAGGAATATCACAGCTACTTTGCCTTTGTGTGGTATTATGTTTTCTTTGTTGTTTTCTGTGGCATTGAGAAATATGTAATGTTTTTCTACCCAAGATCAAGACTTGGATGAGGCAAATCCCATACTCACCATGGGTGCAAACAGTAGAATGAGCAAGATACATAGGATAGTGTATTTCTTAAAGTGAAAATTTCATAATAAAAATATGAAAATGTTAAATAAAGATGAGCTTCCACCTCGGACTTGCCCAAAGCCCCCAACTGGCTTCACCCTAAGTCTGACTCTTCCAGCATATCAAGGAGGCAGGCGAGTCCCCAACTAGGTTGGCTTCCTCCTGGAGTGCACCTTCATGTTACATATGCCAGACCATTGTGCTTCTTTGTGCCTAGAGCAAGTGTAACTTACTTTCATTACACAATGTTACCTGATTAGAGTAGTAAATTATATGGTTTGCCTCTCCATAGGAAATGTATGCTTAATTACTTTACTATTGGTAATAAGGGGGAAGGTGAAATACATTCAATAATTTCTATTATACTAAGATTCGTACCATTCTAAGTCAGTGCTTCTCATACGGACCTGTTATTTTTTTCAGCCAAATCTATTGAATTTTAAATGCACTGGATCATGGAAAATACAAATAACATCACAGAAATTATACTGTTGGGACTTTCCCAGAACAAGAAAGTTAAAAATCTGTGCTTTCTATTGTACTTGTTTTGTTTTATAGCTATTTGGATGGGGAATGTACTCATAATGATTTCTATCACTTGCAGCCAGCTAATTGACCAACCCATGTATTTCTTCCTTAATTACCTTGCTCTCTCAGACCTGTGCTATACTTCCACAGTGACCCCTAAACTAGTCACCGACTCGCTGAAAGAAAGGAACACCATTTCTTATACTGGCTTCATGGCTCAGCTTTCTGCTATGCACTTCTTCAGGGGCATCGAGATCTTCATCCTCACAGGGATGGCCTGTGACCGCTATGTGGCCATCCGCAAGCTGCTGCACTATGCGGTCATCATGAGCAGGCCCAGGTGTAATGCGGCTGTCACTGCATGCTGCTCAGGGGGATTTCTGCATTCCTTTGTCCAGTTCCTCTTCATTACCACCCTGCCTTTCTGTGGCCCCATTGAAATGAAGCACTACTTCTGTGATGTGTTCCCTTTGCTGGAACTGGCCTGCACAGACACACACAGAGCCGGAATCCTAGTGGTCACCAATTCAGGCATGATGGGATTGGTGGTGTTTGTGGTTGTGATGCTGTCTCACATGGTGAGTTTGTACACCATCAGGGCTTACCCTACAGAGAGTCACAGGAAAGCCCTTTCCACCTGCAGCTCCCACGTAATGGTGGTGGTTTTGTTCTTCGTGCCTGTCCTCTTCATTTACATCAGACCAGCAGCCCCTTCCCAGAGGACAAAGTGTTTGCTCTTTTCTACAGCATCATCATGTTCAACCCCCTGATCTACACTTTGTGGAACACAGAGATAAAGGATGCCATGAGGAAGATTTGCTGCCAGAAATCATTTTTGATTGGAAGACAGCTCATCTGCAAGTCACTCTACTCCCCATGGTGTACACTGCCCAAATGACATTTCCTCTATCTTAAGTTTATTAAAGCATGAACTTCCTTATAAAAACAAACATAGACATTAATTTCAGTTCATTAATGTTGTAATGTACTTCGAAATACAGTGGCACCTCAGGTCATGAACTCAATTTGGATTCTGAGGAAGATGGCTACAATCATGTTTGTTGCCTGAGGCGGAGTTCTCCAATGGAAGCAAAATGTTGCCAAATGCTTCTATTTGCAAACTGAGGTGTTCATGAGTCAAGGCACCAATGTAATTTGTTCTACTTTTGCTTCTGTTTGTTTCTGAAGTGCACCTTCCTCCAGGAATTTTAGCCATCATTTTCTTCTCTGAGTGCACTCATGTTGTTGTGTTTGATGTTAATATCCCTTTGGGCTTTTCCATCAAATGCTATCTGAACTCACCTTTGCAATATCTTTATACTTTTCTTCACAGTAAATCTCCAAAAATACATAAGCCACACTCATCCTGATTATGTCAGACCTAAAGGGTCCATTTGGGCTCAGTTTCCTTTCAGCATTCTCATAAAAGTATACAAAAACTCATTGTCATTTTTCCTACTCTATTCAAGATATTATATATTTATTCCAAAAATTTTAAAAGCAAAATGTGATTTCTTAATGCATATACAAATAAACAGTAAAAACATTTTTATGTAAGTGATAAAGATTATGTGAAATTGGAAAAGGTTTTCTTAAACATTTTAGTGAGATTATTATAAAATGACAATTTTAATAATTATAGAAGTATTTCTATAAAATTCCGTTTATATAGTGAGGAAAATGTGGTATTGGTTACAGGTAAGATAACCATGTACTTTATTTTCTAATAAACTACAAACACTTCTATAAACAAGCCAATTGTGGGGTTTACTCTTTACAGTCTGCTTTGGGCATAATTAATATTACAGTCCTCTGCACTTTGCTATGGCAGAGCAGTACCCATTGAATATAAATACCACATTTTCTTCATCCATTCATCTGCTGTGGACATATAGGCTGCTTCCAAGATCTAGCTACTATGAATCGTGCTGCTATAGACATGGGTGTGTATGTATCACTGTGGTATGATGTCTTTAACTCCTTTGGGAAGATTCCTAGAAGGGGTGCCTGTGTTCTCTTGAATTGCCCCCACTGTTTTGTTTGTGAAGTGCTTATTTATTTTATAATACTAAATGATTCTTGAAACTATGTAATTATCATGCCCACTTCTCCTATTGGCCATTTGTTCTAGTAGTCATATTTCTTTTTTGTTGAAGAATGATAGTTAGAAACAAAGACACAGACTAGGGATATTATGGATATTCTTGCTGTCACTGGGTTGTCATTATTTTTTATGTTAATCAGCAGGAAGAACTGCTATAATTAACTTAACTATATACAGATGCTTACCTTTGTATGACGAAATACTTACATTTCTCTATCTCTCTACTTGTTCCTTCTTATGCATTAAATTAAAGATGAGCTCAATGTAAAATGTCTAGCTTTGAACACTAGGAATAAAATGGCCATCATTAAATATCATTGAAAATATAATAATTTCCTGAATCTAAACAGAGTCTAAAATATTATGTCTGTCACAAACCCACCAAAACCTGTATGTTTGTTCATTTTACAAAGTACCCTGTCCTTCTATTTACAAGAGCCAGACTGGTTGAGTATGATTTCACTGTTACACATATTCCTCTTGTTTCTGCTGGGAAACAGCTCCTTTTCTGCTTGAATATCTACATTATGCTCGGAAATATTATGAAGAGCTTATTGTTCAATATACCTGCCATCTTATGCTAATTGTATGTGAATTAATTAAGGTAAAATTAAGATATGTCGCATTCTCTTACAGTAAGAAAATGGTGGAATTGTACTTTAAATATAAGAGCTTTCATTGTATTCACAACTCAATAGGCAGGCAGATATTTTATGTAGTACTATCAAAGAAACAAAGCACACATTTGGTTACATTTTCAAAAGTGTAAATAAGTATTGAAGCAAACAAATATAGACAAGTGATTAGAGTTTTAAAATAACCAATAAACATACTATGTTAATTTTGTTTACTACAGATTGTCAAAATTGAGTTACCAGATCCCATTCATTAAATTTATGTTAGGCTACCTTTTCTTTATAAGTGTTTTTGGACTTTGTTGTTCACATGTGTATGAAAATTTCACTACTTGCTAATGTACTACTTCAAAGAGGAGAGAACATAAAAGGAAAGTATGTGTTGTTGTTCTGTATGACCCTGAGATATTTCACATTGCATTGTGGATTCCTTGTTATATTCTAAATTATGTAATTCTGTCTTAATGGTTTAGAGGAAAATGAGGCTTAAAGAGGTGAACAAGCAGTTCAAGAGTCTTAATTGGCCCATTTATTTTACCAACATACCTCTGAAACAGAGGCTCAGTTAATTGAAGGCTTTGCTGGTCTTCTCACAGAGACCCTGTTGCCTCGCAGAAACTCTCCCCATTTGTACCATGGCACTGTCTCCTCATGTGTGCTGCTTAAGCCCTACTCGGAAGGACCAGGATAATTGTCACAGATGAGGTCAGAAAACCAAGAAATGCATTTGAAGACATTTTTCAAAAACATTTTTGCAATGTGACATTTTCAGTTTTAATTGTTGAGCAGTTTAAACAGAATTGCAGCACTGTGCTCTTTCTGTTCACAGTTTCCATCCATCTTAACTTTGAACAACTACTGATTTTACTTAGGAGTCCTTTTCTGCTAGCCTGAAAGTAAATTCTGTTATAATACTTTTCATGTTGATGGAGATTCCTAAAAAATTTGAGGTCTTCCACAATCTGAACCAACTATCCAGTGGCCTAGTTCTGATCTCAGGCATTTCTTCTATCAGATGAATTTTCCAACACATTTTTCTTTTCAGTTTTATAACACTAAAAACAAAAACAAAAGTTGATGTAATAATAGTGCTATTTTCTTGCCTACTCCAAGAAAAATAAAGTTTATCATGTCCTCTCACAGGGTCTTCACACTAATATGAGGGCTCCTTGACATTTTATTTTTTTTTTTTGCCACAAAAGGCATTATCTGAATGGTCGTTTTTCTGATCCTAATAAGACATGAGGAAGTAGAATGTTCCTATGTACTTTCCTGTGTCATAGACAGTGTTGTAGCCCTTCATATGCAACTGTGGACAACACAGTAATTGTTGTGCTATTACTATACCTTCATGTTGCAGAAGGTACTGGGAGCATGATGTTGCCCCTGTCTGAAGAGTCAGTAAGCAATTCCGCATTTGAAACTCAAGTTCTCAACCAAAACACTACAGTGGACCCTGAGTTATGACCTGACACATGAACAACTTGGGTTAGTTTTAACTTACTACCAAAGTCTTGAGTTACGACCCCAGTGCCAGCCTCTTGTGCTTCCAGATGGTCTCACATACAGATTTAACCCTTAAAGAGTTCTGGAAGGAACATTACACCATTCTTTCCTGTGTAAGGTTGAGAAATTCTTTGCCAATGTCTCTCTAAGGACACTGAGATCTGCCTGTGTACAGGAGAGAGACTTCAAAGGCTGTGTAGAGGAGCCTGAGTCTTCAATTGACCAACTTGAGTTAAAACCAGTTCCTGTGAATGAATTGAGTTCATAAGTCAAGTGTCCATTGTATATGGTGCTAGAATTAAGCTTAGAGGTGTGATTAATTTATTTATGAACAGAGCTGTAAGGAACGGGCTACAGAACAGAAGAGGGGTTATTATCTTGGGCTTGGGAATGTAAGAAAACTGAGAATGCTATCAGTTACTAACAGAGTGTGAGGTGGAGTTGATAAGGAGAGCTGCTGTGGCCCCTCTAGATCTGTTAAAATATGCTGTAAGTACAAACTGGTGTTGCTTTGTAGCTATTCTTGGAACTGGGAGCTGATTCCCTGAATGGAGTCACATGCAACAGTGAGCTCTGTGGGGCCTCACTGCATGTGTGCCATACACTGTTTATGGCACACACTGCACACTGCAGTGGGAGAGCAAAAGGAGCTGCCCGGAGAACTGAGCAGTGGACACAGGACACAGGAACAAGAAAGCAGGAAAGGAAAGATGATAGAGAAGAATCCTGGAACAAGCCAAGAGGACAATACATTTTATGCAGACAGGGTCCTACATATATGTTTCCTACGGGGAAGTCACATATGCAAGGTTTATGATGTTTCCAGATTTCAGGGAGGAGCAGCATCTTCACTGAGCTATGCATAGACCCACGGGGATGTCTTTCAGTGTGTTTCTTTTACTTCCCATGATGAGGCACCAGAGTTTCTTGATGGCATTCTTTATCTTCATATTTCTTAGTGTGTAAATCAGAGGGTTGAGCATGGGGGCAATGATAGTATAAAACAGAGAGAACACCTTGTCTTCTGGAAAAGTAGTTGCTGGTCAAATATAAACAAATAGTAAAGGAGTGAAAAAGAGGACCACCACAGTGATGTGGAAACTACAGGTGGAGAGGGCTTTGCAGTGACTCTCAGCACAGTAGGACTTGAGAGTGTATAAGATCACCACATAAGATATCACCAAGACCACAAAAGTTATCAGTCCCATCAGTCCAGAATTGGCAATGACCAAAAATCCAATTTTGCTTGTATCCATGCAGGCCAGCTTCAGCAAAGGATACACATCACAGAAGTAGTGGTCTATTTCATTGGGACTGCAGTAGGGTAAGAAGACGGCGAGGATGACCTGACCAAAGGTATGCAGGAATCCACCTGCACAGGAAGCTACAATCAGGAGATCACACAGGTGCTTCCTTATGATGACTGCATAGTGCAGCAGCCTGTGAATGGCCACAAAGTGGTCATAGGCCATCCCTGTGAGGATAAAGACCTTGATGCCCCCGAAGAAGTGCATGGTGAAGAGCTGGGTCATGCAGACACTGTAGGAAATGGACTTAGTCTCCAGCAGATCAGTGATTAGCTTGGGGGTCACCGTGGAGGTGTAGCAGAGGTCTGACAGGGTGAGGTACCTCAGGAAGAAATATATGGGGTGG